ACTGCTGCGGCTAAAGGCTGCTTCACACACCCCCGTTTTCTTACGTTATGTTATGTTACGGAGGCTTACGCCTGCTTATGGCACAAGTCACCGCGGGACATCTGTGCTGCATAAAGAGGGTGGCTACCGGTACAAGCAGAGAGCCTGGAACCAAAACATTCGAGACACGAATGTTTCGGTGACTTAAGCGTTACGTGATAAAACGTAAGGAAACGTTTCTGTGTGAACTAGCCTTAAATTTCTCATCTGCAGCGTGTAAAAATGTCGCCATACACTGAAAAGCTAACCTCTACCTATTTCCGAAAGATTTGAGCGTGCGGGAGATTTCAGCGCGCGGTTGGACGCAGAACAGGCATCTTCGCATATATGCATGACCAGAGATAATAAAGCAGTAATTATTTATTGCAAATCGGACTATATTACTTCGCCTTCACTTTATTGTGATTGTCTACATGCAGAGGGAATTACCGGTTTGAGTTGAGCTAGTTGGCACATGTCTATGAGGAAATAGCTTGAACATGAAACACTTTCACACAGATAGGACGGGACATACACAGAGCTGACTATCAACTATTTAAAACTTCTTCCTCCATCTCTTCTTCTTAGTCCATTCCAGCATTCCACGATTTGGAGATAAGATGCATTTTTTTTAAATTCATTTTTAAATAAGACAAAGCATAATAAGGAGTACATATATAAAAATAAATCATAGACAAAAGAAAAACAAGAAAAATATACTACATAAACGAAAATTAATATATTTTTTTAAATGGTGCCAATGCCCAAGCATTTCTATACATTTCCATTTGTTTTTATTTAAGATTTTTTAAAATTTCTTTAAATTTAAGGTTCTTAAAAAATATTAATTTTCGTTTGTGTAGTATATTTTTTCTTTTTTCTTTCACCTATGATTTATTAATATATATGTACTCCTTATTATGCTTTGTTCTATTAAAAAAAAAAGTGCATCTTATCTCCAAATCGTGGAATGCTCGAATGGACTAAGAAGACGAGCTGGAGAAAGAAGTAATTAATGGTTGATAGTCAGCTCTGTGTATGTCCTGTCCTGTCTGTGTGTAAGTGTTTAATGTTCAAGCTGTTTCCTCACAGATATGCAGAGTTACTAATCCAGTGTTACGCCTCGTACTGCGTGCTTCTTTCTTTGTCCGTGTTTTTTAGGCGTATTTTGCACCATGCATAAGTACCAACTAGCCCAACTCGCTGTTTTAATACAGGTTACTGCGTTGTTTTTGCCGCCTCTCTTGGTTTTCTAGATATCCTTATTGGTTCGTCTGGCACATGCATCTCCCATGCTGAAAAGCGCCGACGACGTGTTCACGCTAACAGTGCCCGACAGCGCACATAAATGCATGGATGAAGCTGTTCTTTCAGTATGCTTAATGCCATAAATTTTGAAGAAAAACTCTATAGCTGACCAGTATTTTCATTTACTTGATTGAGAAATGTTCCAAGCTATTTGCTACGTTATAGTTACGTAATATTTGCTCTTTAAATTGAGCGCAGAGGTGAAATTGCTCCGTCTTTTCCTCGTAGAAATGCATTACCGGAAGTCAATTTTCGACTGGTTGCTGTCTGCTTCAATTTGCAACAGCTCACGAGCGCCAGTTTGACCTCTAGCGTAGGTTATAGCAATTCTATGATCTAATCACGCAACAGCTCCCTTAACGAGCCATAAAAATAAAAAAAATGAAGAAAAAAATTGGATCCCTTTTGTGGCTCAGCTACAGCGCCCATCTGTAAACCGTTTTGGTTGTTTTCTTTTTCCCCTTTGCGAACGACCGAACGCCAACAATCGGGCACAAGACGTAAGCACCACAACGGGTTTATTTTCGTCTCTCAGACGATCCCTCACTCGAGACGCTGTGTTCGCGACAAGGGGTCGTTCCTGTTCACAAAGTCTCGAAGAGCTTTCCAACGACCTGACAGCGATCGGGAGAGGGAAACATGCCCTGCCTCGTCTCGAGTCGCTCATCTACCACGAAGCGAGTCGACGCGCGGAACAACACCGATCCGATATACTGCCTGCTGCAGCGGGCGTCCGGGCGCGGTGCCTTGCGCCCCACGTATGATTTATCACCAGCGGCATGTCGAAGAAGGAGCACCAGCGGGGCCCGTCTCGGCCATCGCTAACACCAGCCATCGCCAAACGGTTCGAGAGGTAGGAGGGGCAGAGAAGAACGAGTGGGGCTCTCGCTCAAGCCGCATGCGGCAGCAGCACCAGCTGTAGCGCCGACCCTCGTCAGACAACTTCGACCTCCGGTCACTGCATTACCCGTTTTGCCGTACACTGCTCGCAAACGCGCCAAAACTGACTTTATTGGCAACCTTTTGTTTGCGCTCCAGCACTGCTGAAGGAACTTGGCGATAGAAAGACTTCTTATGCGTGAAAAAGTGTCTCTGTCGCTGTATTCCTGTCACTGTTTGAGAGTGAGAGAGAAAGATTTTGGTGTTGAGTAGACAATGAGGTTAACCAACGCATATTGCTGGTGCGCCACACTCTGAAGTGAGCACCGTTTGTGTTCTCCGTGGTCACGGTCAATTGACAGGACTCTCATTGGCAACTGCCAGTTAACAAATGTCTCTAATTATTAACTAATGGCAATAACCTCTCACTTCAGTCATCTTGTTGCCACTTGTCTGAAGCTTTGTCTGGAATCGCAGAAAACAGCTTTTCCGTCTGCCAGAAATGACAAAATTGTAGTCTTGTGCGAATAGTAGATTTTGAGTTCGAAGCGAATTTGAAGCGCATAGTGGTTTTGACCGAATGTTTTCGATTTGAATATCGAATAGTTTTTCCACGCCTTTCACTGCCTTAGCATAATGCTTAGACAAAACCCCAGCTAAACTTGTGAAGGTTGTTCCACTTGTCCCACTTGTCCATTTATAAGCCAAGTTTAATCTATCTCTATTTATGAAGTGCGACCTCAGAAGGTCTGATGTCTTAGGATGTAAAAGACAGGTTTGACGTAAAAGCTTAAAAGACAGGTTTGACATAAAAGGAATCTTATAGAAATGACCAACTATTCCCATTTGAGTAAATTTACAAATTTTAAATATTCTTTCTTTAATTTCGAGTAAAAAACGAATGAATTGCGCATGATGAACGCAGGTTGTAAGGGCATCTCTGCCTAGCGTATACTCTTGCAAAACCGTCAGTTTAATTTTGAAACTTTTACTACAGTGTAGATACAGTATACATATTCACAAAGTTTCCATTTATTTTCAAATACAGCCGGCACAAGTGCACCCTCGCTCTTTGAATGCATGGTTTTCTTCCAAGCATGCAATTGCGATATTCATACTTTTCCAAGTGTTCATCGCGGCGGGTTAGCCCCGTTGAGTGCGCTTCTTACCGAGCACCGATGTAATACGGAGAAGCAATGCCCGCGGAGCTCGCTTTTGCGGGTATTGCTTCTCCGCAGTGCACCGGTGCTTGGTGAGAAGCGCACTCAACGGGGCTAACCCTTAATGAACACTTCGAAAAACGCAAATAGTGCACTTCTTCTCAAAGCGAATATCGAATAGGGTATAATTCGAAACTATTATTAGAAATTTAGAATATTCGCACAACCCTACAAAATTGTCTTGACACGGCAATACCATTCGTGCGACCTTTCTGACACCGTGTCTAATGCCCGAAAAGTCACATTCTCGAATCATAATCGAAAAATGGCGGCTCCAACAAACCTCGTGGGGAATGCAGTGCCTGTACTCCATTCCCCGAGTTTATTTAGCGGCTCTAGTGAAAAATCTCGATAAGCCGACGCGAGCCTTATTGGTTTGTTACACGCTGAATGGGACTTGCCTGAGACGGGTGAACGACGGTTCAACGACGATACATAATGCGGTTAGCCGACGAGCGAACTTGAGAACGCTCTTTGAACATGGGGGCCATTCACTTCTGCCTAGCCACAGCAGCATTGCTGAGTGCTTTTGCCGAGTCGTGCCAGCTATACGAGCGCTGTGTGCGTGTGACTTTGTTCATGTTTTAATTCGTATGATTCATGTTGAACGACCCCCTTCCCTTCACCTCGAAATTAGCAGTTCTAAAAAAATAAAAAAATAATAAAAATAAAAACGCGCGAGCTGGTGTACCGCTGCCATAACTAACCAAAAACTAAAAAAAAAAAGAACTATTAGCTATTAGGTATACTTGGAACGTCCCAAACTCGTCTACCGCGTGAGCTCTCCCTCACGTGTGTATACCTTTCCAAAGGTCGCCTTCTGCGCACTGCCATCTTTCTCTGGTGGGCTGTGGAACGCCTTCTGAGCATGGCTGTCGCTCTGCTGTGCGGTATATCGGACACTGCGCATGCCTCCACAGCTCAATGACTCAGCATTTTTTGGCCGGGTGATAAGCCATGGAGAGGTCTATGAAACACCTCGTAAGCAAGCGAGGAGGTGTTTTATGCCTGTGTAATGAGTGATATTTGTTCCGTGTACTGCACTGTTAGGAATCTGGAGTGCCTATTTTACCACAAGCCCTCGGGAGTCCGCGCTGTGGCATTGGGCATATTCAAATGTCGTGTTCAGTGTCACAGAATACGGTGTTTTTTTAGGTCTAAGCAAATTATCTCCCTCGTCGTTTATCGTAAATTCGTAAATTCCTCCGTAAATTTGTAAATTTCTCTCTTAACACCTTCGTAAATTGCAGCAATATAGACCCTTTTCAAAAGCCAATCGAGCAACATGGATGGTCGCCATATCTTGGGAACAAAGCGCGCGGGATTGGTTCCGAGTCCTCGCCGAATGCTGACGTAGCCCTCGTGTCCAATCAGTGCTCAGTGGACATGCCCAAGCAATGGCGGACAAGCGATGGCGCGAACTTTTGAAAAGGGTCTAATAGACGCTTTCAGAAGTTCGCGCCATCGCCTTTTAAGCGCATTCCGGGAAATGAGACTGTCTCTCAATCTTGTTTCTTTCTGTGGTGTGAGTTGATTTTAAATAATGCATTTTCTTGTTTCTCTTGTCTTTTGCAGTTCGGCGGCACAATAAGAGGGGGAAGAAAAAGACGAAAGAGAAGAAAACGACTCGGAGCGGCGGAAATTCTAGAGGTAAGGAAAAAAAAACTCGCCGGTTCTAAAGGCTGGGTATGAGATTATGCTTGGTAACAGGTCGTTTTATAACGTTTCCTAAATACACATACAGTATCACTGCAATTCGGAAGCCAATATTCTAACCGTTGTTCAATGTGTTAAACTAAGAGTCACGTACGAGTCTTCATGTTCTTTCGCCAAGTCGACAGCCATAATCACGTTCATTGGTCCTTATTGCCGAGCTTGAAAAGACTCGTTCTCGCATGACCACCTAGGAGAGCGCTTCACCGTATACTTCGAATCAACTATCCGAGCCATTTCTAAAGAAACAGCGAGTAGAACGCGGGAATATTTTTAATCCTGAAGTGTGCGAGCGAACGCGGCACACTTCGGGTGGCAAATGTGCCCAGCTCTTTCCCGAGTTGGCACTTTTTAGGCTCCATTCGCTCGATCAATGATCGGCGGCGAATCGGTTTGCTATCCTCCGGGTGTTGCATGTGCTAGCGCGGACTGATTCGTCGATTGCAATGTACGCGAACCTGCGTTGGGATCGCAACATCAGATCCCATCGCGGCGATTCTTTATTTCTCATTCGCTCAGGAGCGCGTGGAATGGAGTTGGTAATTCGGGGAGTGGGACTGAACGCAAGAAGAGCATTGAGGCTCCCTAGAGAGTGACAGGTCAGGAATGCAGCATATATATTTCGCCTCCAATTCAATCTTCCTACATTAGAAAAAAAAAGTGGGTGCACACACACTCCAGGTTTGGCAGATTTGTCATTAGCCTGTGCGTAAGGCAGAGCTTATTCTGCATTCTTAGCCTAACAAGAGTAATCCCTGGAGAAAGGGAAGAAGGGGGACCAAGGACAAACACAAATCTCCAAACACAGGACTGGTGCGCGTCCGAAAAAATACGCCTGGTCCGGGTATCGAACCCGGGACCTCTCAATTTCCAGTGAAGCGATCTACCAACTGAGCTAACCAGGCTTTTTTTTTTTTTCTTTATTACTTGATTTTGACAGGGACAATGCAATAACAAACACTCAAAAGAAGAGGTTAAAAAACCATCAGCTCACCTGGCTGACACAAAAATGTTAAAAATCTTTGAGGTTCGCAAGCCCCTCAAGAAGTGGCAACCATTCAGGCCAAGGTTGTTGGGCCTTATACACTTCCTTCATAAAGCACATTTGCTCTGCAAAATACTTGTGCACAGGACGCAGATCGACGTCTGCATGACGCACGGCCATGCGACACCGCCACAAACTGTGAAGGCCCAGGAGCATGACCATGTCTAGAGGTACGCCCTCGTCCCCTTTAACAGGTAAAAAACGAATTCCATGCGGCGTAAGAGGCAGGTCCTTTTTGAGCGTTCTTTGCAGTACGTCCCAGAAAAACACTGCATCCCAGCAGTCTATAAAAACATGTTCGATTGTTTCCTGCTTTTTGCATAATATGCAGTTATCGGTCCACGCAATAGGCACTCCCTTTTCGGCTAGCCATGCTTTGACAGGTAAGGTTTGGCTGTGCAACTTGAAAAAAAACGTTTTGGTTGAGGCGGGAATGACCATTCTTTTTACACGTTTTAATACGTCCTGCCCTGGGCCTTCACTGAAAAACATACGATACAAAGGAGTGGGAAAAATTAAATCATTAATGTCGTTTGTCAACCGTTTCCGCGAGACACCGCACAAGTATTCCAAAGAAAAGCGTGTTGTTAAAAACTGATAAGCACCAACGACCTCTTTTAGATAGCCGCGTACAGGACCACTGATGTCTATGCCAGACGACACAATGAACTCAGGGAGAGTGCTGCGCAGCCTCGCTTGAATGACAGTGCATAAAAAAGGATCTTTCTGGTCTCGAAGAAAAAAAAATCTGTTAACCAGCTGTCTCACAAACAAATGGGAAAGTCCCAGACCGCCAACACTGACCCTTCGGAAAAGATTCGTTCGGCTCGTCCTCTCCCATACCGAGCTCCAAATAAAAACGGCAAATACACGATGAATGCGGTGAACGTTAATACGTGAACAATGCAACACCTGCAAAACGTACCAAATCTTCGCAGCAAGAAATGTGTTACACACAGATGCACGCGCGAAAATTGATAAACCCTGGCCTCCCCACTTGTTCGCCTTCGCGCGCAAAGCCTCAGTCTCATCGCGCCAGTATTCGTCAGTGTTGCGATAGTGATTCAATGGTACCCCAAGATACCGAGACGGCGAATCCGCCCACGTAATGCGTTCATAAACAGTCGGCGTGCAAGGCCAATCGCCGTGCCAAAGACCCACACACTTTTCAAAGTTAACAGAACTGCACGTATGGTCGCAAAACGTTTCTGTCAACTCTACGGCTTTCTTTACACTGTTTTTGTCGCTACAAAAAATTGCCACGTCATCCGCATATGACAAGATGCGGACTTCAACAGTTTGTAACTTAAAACCTTGAATACAACTACTATGAATGACGCTTAAACAAAACGGTTCGAGAAAAATACAAAAAAGCAAGGGCGAAATCGGACAGCCTTGTCTCACGGAAGAAAGGAGAGGAACGCGTTCAGTCACACATTTGTTCACCACAAGTCGAGTGGCGCAATTTTTGTACGCCATACGTATACCATCACACAAAACTGCCCCTACATTTACATGATCTAAAATAGCAAAAAGGACTTGATGGGACACCCGGTCAAAGGCCTTTTCCAGGTCGACTTGTAACATTGCCACTCTTTTTTCCATAGTGTCGCAACATTCCAAAATAGTTCGTGCAACGTGCACGTTCGTTACAATACTCCTTCCCTTTATACCACACGTCTGGTGCGGGCCGACGATAATGCTAATGACACTTTGTAATCGTTCCGCTAACACTTTCATGAAAATCTTGTAGTCTACATTGGTCAGTGTGATAGGGCGGTAAGAACCAACGGAACGGAGTTTCAAGCGGTCTTCAGTTTTGGGAATAAAAATTGTGTGTGTGTACAAAAACGACGGGGGCAAAACATTAAGAGTATACGCTTCGGTAAACACACAGTGCAAAAACGGGGCAAGCTGATCTTTGAAAGCTTTGTAAAATTCTGCTCCTAAACCATCAGGGCCGGGTGACTTTCCCGGTTTTAAGTTGTCGATGGCTTTTTCTACTTCCCACAACATTATAGGTTGTTCTAACTTTTCTTTTAGTTCGTCTGCCAGCTTCGGCATTAACGGCAAATAAGAACTCCGAAACCCGTTCTTTTTAGGCTCACGATAGCTGAACAATTCTTTATAGTACTCAACAAACGCGCGTTGTATGTTCACGTTATCGCTCGTCAGAACCCCCTGATACGAAATTTCCGTGATTTCATTTTGACTCGCATACTTTCTTTCAGCGCCTATCGCCCTTTTCGTGGGTAGCTCCCCAAGCGATAACCGGTTCCATCGCGCTCGCAGCATAGCCCCCTTGTATTCTTCAGTATCGAGAATTTCGAGGCGCTTTTTGATACTGATAATTTCATCCGAAAAAGAACCTGGCGATAGGCATTCTTCCAGCATCAACCTTTGAAGCAGGCTGTTTAACTCGCGCGTTTCTTTCTTTTCGTTATGCTTCAATAAGCTGGAGCGCTCGATGGAAGTCAATTTTATTTCCTGTTTAAACAGTTCCCATTTTACTCCAAATCCTTGCCCTTTTGCGCTCGCTGAATCTTCAAGATTTTTCCGGACTGCTTGTACAAAAACCTCGTCTTCAAGGAGTTTGCAATTAAATTTCCACAAGTCCCACGTGAACTTTTTAGGCGTATCTTTAGAGGAACAAACTAAAAAAGAAACAAGGCAATGATCACTGAACGACACGTGATCAACGGCATATTGCTTGCACGCTCTTACAAGGTCGAGTGAGACATACGCTCTATCCAAGCGGGCATGACTTGCACCTTGGAAATGCGTGTACTTTAAACCCCTACCGCGGGACGCGCAGTGGGCAATGTCTTCTAAATCGCACCGCTGAAGCATGTCGCAGAAAAACACGGTGCTCGCGTCCCGAAACCTTACACTATTTGACCTATCCTGCGGCGCGCACACACAATTAAAATCGCCCAATAATATAACTAATCGATCAGTTTGAACGTACTTTTCAATAAACTCGAAAAAAAATAATCGTTCCTCCGTCTTAATAGGGGCATAGATGCACACCACACGAAATTTGTAGTTGGAAATAATAAAATCGCACAAGACAAAGCGCCCCGAATCACAACTAATGACTTGTTCGACTGTCCCGATGGATTTCTTTAGAAATAAAAGACAACCCCCCGACGTCCCCCTAGCGTGGCTGACGCACACGTCATACCTCGCTTCAAAAAGCCGTACCATGTTCTCCGTCTGGGCCTCGCCTTCCATTTTCGTCTCCTGAACCGCGACGATATCCAGGTCATTCTCGATAAACAAGTGGTTTACCTGGTATTGGCGACGCCTGGCACAAAAGCCGCGCACGTTTAACGTGCCCACCCGTAAAGATCGTTCAAGGTTCATGAACTGTTGGAAGGGAGGCTAGACGGAGAACAAGGTAGGCTCGCAAAAAAAGCGCTTGTGCAAGAAAAAGCCAATGGAAACAAAAATACGGTTGACACTTGCATTGACGTTTAGGCCCGAAAAGACTCACAGGGAGTCCTTCCTGCGACGATCGTCCGGCGGGACACGCGGCTTCGCCACGACACGACACTTCTTGATTCCTGGCACAGGCAACCCGCTGGCGGCCATTCCGCCGGTTGCAGCTGGTGCTGGCGCAGGGTCCCTCGGTCGCTTGAGAGTGGAGTCCATGTCTGTGTCCTGGCACTCCTCCACTCCGGCCTCGCTGTTTTGCACACCGGGATGGCCGGGCTTCGTTGCCGATGGACCGCATCCGGATATTGCTGGCTCATGGGGCAGGCGCTCCTTAGTGTCGTCGCTGGGCGTGACTTGCGCTTCGGATTTCTCCTCGGGGTTGCGCACGAAGGACGCTGCGTCAGGGTTGCCGTCGTCGTTGGGCGGGGGCGTACCACTAGGCTCCGTCGATGGC